TATTCAAAAGTGGAAAAACAGTTGTGATACAAGGTGGTGGTCTGGAAATGCCTATTTTGGCTACACAATAGCAGTGGCTCATATCCTTGTGATTTCATATCCTACAGAAATTGCAAATGTTTGCTAGAAATCTAAAATCCTGCAGGTAAAGGTATTGAATAAAAGAATGAAAGGCGCAAAGCCTTAAAGAAGCTTTGTAAATGACATTTGGTGGTGTAAAATACTGAAAATGGATTAATACAGTATTCTCATATTTTACTTGTGTGAGTGATCCTATTGGACGTCTAATTAGTAAGATACAATTACTTTTTTTGTTTGCAGCAGCAGTTTTGAGCAGCCTTAAATTCTTTACTACTCCATTTTGCTGCTTTTCTATTTATGTAATAAGTATATCTTTTAAAAAGTTCTTTTTTGCCTTCTCTAATTCAAATAGCACTGTAAAGTTGTAAATGAATCCAGGCATTTTAAACTCTATTAACGCTTTTTAATTAAAAAGAACGTTGACATAGGATGTATTCTGGAAAGTTAAATTAAAATCTGACCTTTGTAATAGGACTCAGTGGTAGATCATGATACTGGGCATGGGAGATTAGAAGTTTAATAACTATCCATCTTCTAAGAAAATGCTTTTTCTTTCTGGAGTGATCAAAACCAGAAGACTCAGAAGAAGTGCTTTATCTAGCGTTACTTGGCTAGGATAGTTGGTTTTGCAAAGAAAGCTTTCCTGAATACCTATGGTAATAGGAGTTTTTAAATAGCTATTGCATCTGTTCAGTAAAGTCTCTGTACTGCTTAATATGCACCAAGGGGGTTATAATTTTCTTTCTAGGCAGCGATGTCAAACCATAGCTTTCCTTTTTTGTCTTTATTAAAGTAAAACATTGATTTCCTCTGTTTTATTATTGTGTGTGATGACCTTTTATTCCTGTCTTTATACAAGTTTGTATATGAGCAAATGTTCTTTTTAATGTCCAAGCTACCTGTTGCAGCTTGAAGAGTATTTCAAGTGCTATTGTTGATAGATTGATAGTACTATAAATTTTGTGGAGTGTTTTGTATACGAACTTATAATCTGGAAGAAATACACCCTTGTGCCTGCAGACACCGTTGCTATTTTGACCAGGTGCAAAACAAATAGGATACACAACTTCAAAGTATTAAATCAGTGGTATTAGTTTATTATCTATTAGAGAATAGATATCAAATGACCAGGTTATTAAGCATAAATTTTGTCTTGCATTTGAGAATGGCCAACATTTTCAAGGGTTTTCTTTTCCTTAGAATCAGACCTATAGGAAAAATGGTTTTGTATCATTTTGAGAGAGAAAATTACTTCATCATCTTAAGTTACTATTTTAAGTTTTGACTTAAACTATATCAAAAGAAAAACTTAAAAGGCACATTACGAGTAAAACATGACATGCCTTCTTGCTTGTGCCTTTTGTTGCTCTAATTATTTCTTAATAATTGTAATTAATTAGGTCAGTTGCTTTTTATGGCGTGCATAAGTTAAATGACTCCTACTTGCCTAGGTACTAGCTGCAGCTGAGGGAAATTATTTTACGTGTTTGAAGATGAACTTGCTGAATGTCTTTGTTTTTGCAGTCAGGGGGAGAGGCCTGGAAAGGGCAGTGGGGATAACCTTCCAGATCTGAGCTGTGCAGAGAAGGCTGTCTGCCTGCTGGGGAGCAGCTGGGTGGAGTGAGTGACTGCAAGGCAGGGCCTTGTCCTCACTGGCAGGGGCTGCAGTCTGGTGGTACTCAAATGGGAGGAGCATTGCCTCTGGCCATGCCAGAAAACATTCCAGTGATCCCTGGGAGTGTCTGTAGCCACTAGATCATGGCAGGAAGAAGTCAGTGGGTTGAGGCCAAGGCCAGTAACGTGCATAGATGCAGCTTTGGCAAGAACCAAGGGCAAAGGCCTGCACTGTGAGTCAAGCAGTAATAGCACCCAGTGATGCTTCTGATGGCTTTTATCACGGCGGTCTAATCCCAGGTTACTCTGCTGCACTGTGTGAGGGCTGGCCTGGAGCTCAGAGGTGATATAGGGCCTGGCCTGCTGGTGTCCTCAGGGTCCTGACCCGACCAAACAGGGAATGTGGGCATAACACAGCCTCCTGCATGGGTGGAGCTGTGCAAAGTTTCTTCCATTTGACCGCCACCTGGCTTGGTGGTGAAGGAGCATGTCCTCTGGTGGTGACCTCTCCTGCAGAAGGTGGTGGCAAGCATGCTGTGCCATGTAGAGCCTGATGGCCTAGCATCTGCCTTAGCCTGTGCTGGCATCACTCATTGCTGCTGGACCACGGTGGTTATTTTCCAGTCGGTCTTGGAAATGTAAAAATGAGCAAAAATGAAAAGATTTGAAGCAAATTCAGAGTCTTTTGAATGGAATATTCAAATGATTTACCAGTATGTATTTTAAATATTTTCTTGAGGAAACCATTATTGGACATTCATTGGAATACACCTTAATCCACTCTAAGGCAGCTTTTAATTATGTCTGCTGGTGGTAAGGCCATCGGAGGCATAGGAGAATGAATTTTTAAGCTTTTATCAATGTAACGTTCTGTTTTAGGCCCTATTTTTTTGTGTTTTGTGGTAGTTTTTCGCAGAAACAGACATTCAGCAATGCTGACAGTTTTTTTTGATGTTTGTGATTGATAGAGCAATTTTTCTCCCTCAGCAGTATCTAGCCTGACAATGAGAATAGAGTGTTCACAGAGCTTAATTCTTAGATCTGTGTACTTATATTCTGGAAAAACTAACTCCTGAAGTGCTTTACATGCTAACCTTATATATATATATTTTTTATCTAAGAAGTACAGACACATACCATTCCTGTGGCTCTTAGCCAGAAGATTATCATTTACATAAAATTTCTTTCAAAGGCGTAGTTTAAGGCATTGAGCTCAGGAGGTTAGAATAGAGACTTCAATCTGTACACCAGCAGTGGGCTACTGGCTTCTGAACAGAAGCTTTGTTGGTCATATTCAGAACACTGTTCACATTCATACTTAAGTAGAGCTGGCATTAAAATTCAGCTAATTTGTTTCATGTGATTCATCAGCTGTGTATTTTATTTAAATCTATGTCACATTCTCTTTCAGCATTTTATTTTGTAGATTCAAGTGTTGAAATAGGCCACTCTTTAACTCCTTAGTCCCTGACTTCAGTACTGACTTAATCTTCGTTCTGCTTGTTTTAAACTCTTGTCTGGAATACTGAAAATAAATATGCATAACTGAAATGTATGTTAATTAAATTTATGGTATTTCATTTAAAAATTCATTTCATGTACATTTACACCTAGGGTTTTCAACTTTGCCTAATATAAAACTAACATAATAGCCAGACTTGCAAAGTTGACATAATCAGATTTTGCTGACTGGACAGGTTTTACTTTGATAATGTCTGTGGTCTTAAATTTTTCTGGCTTTTGACCATTCACTCTTGATGTGAAGAACGAGGAGTTATTTGTAGATGCTGCTTATAAAAGCACAGTATAGAAGCATCCATTTGTTAGGTACGTGATCCATTTAGCTATTTTCTTTAATATTTGGTAAAATTAACAGGAATGTCTTAATTTTACTTTTAGTATAGCACAAGACAGTCCCAACAGATCAGAGTGAGAGATTTGCACACAGCTGAAATGCTTTTTTGATGTAAAAGAGTTGCACTTCAGGCATCTAGCACTGATCCTGAGTTCCTCTTAATACTAAATCCTAAATATTCTGTGTAAATTTGCCATTTTTATTTCTGGAATCACAGAATCACAGAATGGCCAGGGTTGGAAGGGACCTCAAGGATCATGAATCTCCAACCCCCTTGTCACAGGCAGGGCCACCAACCTCCCCATTTAATGCTAGACCAGGCTGCCCAGGGCCCCATCCAATCTGGCCTTGAACACCTCCAAGGACGGGGCATCCACAACCTCTCTGGGCAGCCTGTTCCAGCACCTCACCATTTTCTCTGTAAAGAATTTCCCCCTGACATCCAACCTAAATCTCCCCTCCCTCAACTTAAAACCATTTCCTCTCGTCCTGCTGATATCTACCTTTTCAAAGAGTTGATTCCCCTCCCCTCTGTAGGCTCCCTTTAGGTATTGAAATGCTGCAATGAGGTTATCCTGCAGCCTTCTTTTCTCCAGGCTGAACAAGCCCAGCTCCCTCAGCCTGTCTTCATAGGGGCGGTGCTCCAGTCCCCTGATCATCTTCGTGGCCCTCCTCTGGACCCTCTCCAACAGCTCTCTGTCTTTTTTGTACTGGGGGCTCCACACTTGGACACAGTATTCCAGGTGGGGAATAATCCCATTGTACCTGAAGTAGTAGGAGACGTAAAATAAAGATCAAAGAAGAAAGTCATTGTTTTTAAAAGCTAACCAGTTGTGAAATAAGATGGTTCAGCTAATTATAGATGTAGCTATATTAAAATATATATTTCAGATCCAACCAGATTTTGTTTGGAGTGTTTTCTTTTTTTCACATTAAGGCAAACATTTAGTACTACTCATTCCTCCATGAAACTCCTTTATATGAGAGCATACAAAAATCCTAGCACAAAACACATACACAGAAAAAAAACAAAAAAGCACCATTGCTTGCCAGTAGTCATAATGCATTGATGAGACCATGTCTCACTGTTTTGTTGATCTCTTTTGTTTGTTTTTGTTTGTTGGTGTACTTGTGGCATCTTGTTTTAGAAGGTGAGTTAGTTGGAAACAAACGCTTATTTACCATGAAATCTCACATGGTTGGGTTCTGATCATTGTCTAAGAAACTGGGCTGTTCCTGTTGGAAGAAATATTAGTTTGAAAGTTGGAATTTTAACTGTGTAATTTCTAATTTGTGTATTAGAACTTGAATGAATACTTCAGGTTAATGCTGATGTGTTAACTTGCCATTACTTTGGATATGAAGTTAGAGCTATAAATTCCTGAGCTGATTTCAATGAATAACCATATTCTAAATATTGTGGTTTGTTTATCCATTATTCTCTCTCCAGAATTTCAAAGAATATTCCTACAACTAAAGATGTTGAGCCACTGCTTGAAATTGATGGAGATATACGGAACTTTGAAGTATTTTTATCTTCACGAACACCTGTTCTTGTAGCACGTGATGTAAGAACATTTTTGCCATGTACTGTCAACCTAGATCCCAAACTACGAGAAATCATTGCAGGTAAGCGTTTTTTCAAATAAATAGAAAGTGATAATTGAGGTAGAGCTACTTTGCATATTGCACAGGTTCTGAGGTGTTCATCAGTTCAGACCTTCATGTCATCTGACCTGACTTCAGTAGCAAATTGTTCAGTTTTACAGGCCAAATCATACTAGACTAAAGCAGCTCTTTAGAATGGACAAAATATTGTTAATGATTGATTCAAAGATAGTTTTAGCAGTTGTGGGAAAACAGTACATGTATCACAATGATGTTTTATTCGTAGAGATGTGAATTTACTTCCAAGTAGTTCTTAACAATTTCAGGTAGCATCAGGTCTTTTAGAACTGAAGCCAGTGAAATAGAATGGAATGTCTCCAATCTGATGTGTTCCCTGCTAGACACCTGTGCAGTTGGTACCTGCCAGTCATTTTTTTTTAGTCTGTGTTAGGATAATATTTAAATTGCTAATAGGGTGACTGTTGTTTGTTGTTATTACTAGCTTGTAGTCTCAAAAAGTGAAGTTAGACTGAGGTATGTGCTTGACAGTAAATACTCTGCCAACTGCTGAAGTGGACTGATGTGACTTCTAATATGACAGAGGTTGCTGTTTGATCTGGTAAAAACAAGGCATGCTAATATTTCTCCTTGCGTAAAGATGCTGAAACTTTAAAGAAAACCTGATCTTTAAATTTAAAATGGGATCCTTATGAGTTTCTGGTCTGACAGTATCCTAAGTAGGTTCTGAACCCCTTGTGTTTTAGTAAGTGCTCATTGCCTCTTGTCCTGTCACTGGGCACCACTGAAAAGAGCCTGGTTCCATCCTCTCTGCACCCCTCCCTCCAGGTATTTCTGTACATTGGTGGGATACCTCTGAGCCTCCTATTCTCCAGCTTCAGCAGCCCTAGCTCTCTCAGCCTCTCCTCACAGGAGGATCTTCTGTCTGAGCCCTCTGGTGGGCTATTTCCAGTATGTCTGCACCTCTTTGACACTGAAGGGCCCAGAACTGGATACAGTGGGCAAACAAATCAAAACCTGTTCAAGTATCTCAGGCTCAATCTCATTCTCCTTTTACCTTTGTTCTTCAGATGTTCGTGCTGCAAGAGATCAAATGAATATAGGACTTCCTTATCCCACATTGCCTTTACATGAGGCACCTGCCAGAGCAGCGTCTCTGTTCAGCCAGCCTTCATCAGCCTGCTCTTCTACAGCCTCTTTCAATGGACCCTTCAACAGTGGAGTTCTATCACCCCAACCTCACAGCAGTTACTATAGTGGTATGACAGGACCTCAGCATCCATTCTACAATCGGGTAAATAATCAAGAACCAATTCACATTCTTCTCATTTAACCTGGTAGTATTGTGTGTGACGTCTATGAAGTGTTTAAAAGACCCACACAGATAATATTTACAAATGGAGCTTTGTCCAAAAGTCAGTACATTTTGCAGTGATGTTTGCTCATATAGTCTTGTAGGGAAATGAGGTCAACTGCTTAGAGTATTACACAAAAGGAAGAAAGGTCAAACACACTAAGATAATGCTGCTTAGTTGTAGGGTATATTGCAGGCACCCTTTACATGTATATACCTACACTGCTTTTTAAATGGTAAATTCTGCACACTTCTTCACATACTTGCTTACAGTCATTAGAGAAGGTCCTGTTTTTTTTCCTTGGTAAATTAGGTAAACTACAGAAACTTAAAAATGTAAAATGCAGCAACTTTGGAGGAGCTGCCCAACAAGAACATATCCAGACATGTCTTCCCTTTTATCTCTTTTTAAAGTTATTCTGGGATCTTTACCCATAACCAGCGCTGCACTAGTTTAAAGAATTAACATAAATTGCGTAAACCATATAATTTTGAGTTATTTGTGGGCATCAGAAAACATAGTCCTAGACATGGCTCACATGTAATTTGCAGTGCTTTACTATATAATGGGATTGAATCTAAACAATGTAAGATAACTTGGTACAACGATAAAAAAAAAATAGTTTATGAAGGTATAAATAGGTGAGACAGCCATTTATAAGAATGCCTTTTTAGATGCATTTTACAATGACATTCATAGTACTGATCTACTTAGAGGGATTTAGTTTGTAGTTATTTAAAATTGGAGTGCGCTCCACAAGTAAATTCTAACTTTCTATTTTTAAACCTTATTTTTTCCTTTTTTTTTCCTGCAATGTTATCAGAGAGAAAAAAATATTCAGAAAGTGGGTATAAGTCATAGATTGCTCCTGTATGCAGTTTTAAGTAGTGAGATATGGTAGTAGGTTAAGGTTCAATCTAATAAGCTGGGGAAAAAGATTGAGTTGTTCCTTAATGTTCATTAACCAAGGCAGAAGAGAGTATATTTAGCACAGAGTCTTTTATTTGTTCTAAAAGTATTCTTATATTGACACTATATTGAGCATATATACTATTCTGTTTAAAATAACTTAAAGTGACGTGTTCTTTGCCCAACACTGAGAAATGCTTGTCTTATTAATCTTCCTGCTGATACTGACTCACTTAATTCAAGTGCGTGTTTAATTGGAAGCCCTGGTTTTTGTCTGTTCCTGCACATGAAAAGGTTTTAAGTATGTGGTAACTTGCAGTTGAAACTTAGATGTTTTTATGGCTCTAATAATCAATAAAAAAAGCAATTATTGGTGAATCATGAGCTGTTTTTACAAGTATTTCATTTGTTCATTTTTATGAAGTGCATACATGGACTTCCAGGCTTTTTTTTTTTTTTTTCCTTTTTAAGACTCAAGTGTTTTTATTTTGGTCTTCCTCTAAGGAATTTTATACTGCTTTTCTAAGGTATAAAACACTGCATACTGAGATAAATAGTGAGAACCTTATAATAGTAGGTTTTCTGAGAGCATTTTCAATCACTTTTCACTTCTGGAAGAACGGTATTTAATAAAAGAGCACAGATGATTAGGCTATTCTAAACAATGAATTATCTGAAGAAGGTCTTTGGATACCTGGATGACACAGCACAGAGGGGTCAAATACTGCTCTGGAGATGTCTGAATTTTATGGCAAAGTGTTCTTAAGTTCCTAGGATGAATACATTGCCTTTTTCTGACCAGATAATAGTTTCTGTCTTGTTGTTTATAAGTGATCGTTTGTTCTTAAGGAAAAAAAAACAAAACAAACCTTTGAGCTCTTGTGGAAAGCTCGTGTTGCTTGTCTTCAGAAAATACTACACTTATGTTCTCTTTGTTCTTCAGATGTTCCTGTGTTATGTTCTTGAACTTCCAGTCACATAATCTCTTCATTTTTTGGTTTAAGGCCCCATTCTCCCTGTGCATTGCTGTGCTATGGTCCGATTCAGCAGCTCTTTAACTTGGCAATTTCACTCTCAGTTTTTGACAGTGATAGAGAGCTAACAGTTTACCCCTGTCAGGTTCCCTGGTGACAAGTTGGTCTCGAGTTCAGCTTCCCTAAATCGCTGCTGTCACGAACCATTGTTGATGGTTCATGTTTCTAATGGAGAAGATCAGAGCAGTAGGCATGTCTAAAGTAACTGAGTGGGAACTAGAAATTATGACATGTAAGGATTTTATTTTATTTTATTTTATTTTATTTACATTGGTATAGCAGCACATTCTTTGATACCTGGGCTGTGCTTATGATTTATAGGCTATCTGTGAACTTGGAGAACAGCTCTGTGCTGGTTTATGCCCAGTATGTATTTATATTGATCTCATGTTTTCACTATACCTGTCGTCTTATACTTTGAGAGTTGAAACTGCAGAGTTAAAAATTTGATATTGGAGAATTAATTCCACAGGTGGAAAGCAGTGAAGTAGCTGAAGCGGGCATGAGGCATAATTAGAAATTGTGAAGCAAATTGTGGTATAATTGCCTTATTGGACAAATTTTTTCATTGCTTCGTAGTTTGATGACTCGCAACTGAAAAACAGGTGCTCACTTTGTTTCAGAGGGTAGTCTGCAGTGAGAGCTAGGCATGTGAATGTGGTATCATAATTAAGCATCTCATGCTTGTGGGTTTTCCATGTGGTTTAAGCTGCTGGTGGAAAACGGAAGCATTTAATTATTCGAGAAATAACAAACTCTTTTTGAGAAGAGTTTTATTTCCACGAGATACCATAGAGCAGGTGTCTCATGGCATTGAATTTTCTGAATCGTCCTGTACTAACCAGTAAGTATGAGACAAAGCTTAGGCATTGGTCCTCCTGCCTATTTGGCCAACTCAAGTTGAAAACCACAGAAGAAACAACTCCCACATTTTGAGTAATGATAACAGTGCATACCATGCATCTTTGTACGTTGGAAGAGCACGTGAACTTTTTGTGGTAATAACCTGAAAATGCGTGCAATGCAACTAAGAATAGAACATTGGTATTTCTTCGTAATTAATCAGAGTTGGTGCTTATGCCATCTTGTTTGATGCACACATGAATCAAGTTTCCATCTCCCCGTTAATTTACTGCTGCTTCTGAACACAGAATGCTTTCTTGGTTTGTTTTGATTTGTTTTTGTCCTTATTGATAAATCCAGAGTGGGATACTTCCACAAGTTTTATTCCCCTCTCATACATTGGCCATCGAGTTGTAACATGGTTTAGTCTACACTAAATTTGACGCAGTTGACTACTTAAAGTCTTGTCATGTGCAGAAACATAAACCAAGTAGTATGTTTTGTTTGATACATAGCAGGGTAGTATAATTCTTAAATTTTATGTATAAAAACACCAGTATGGTTTTGGATTGTTTGGTTGTTTGTTTTTTTTCTTCTTCTTTGCTTTTGAAGAACTCAGTAAAGAATTGAGTGTAAAGAGTTCTGTAATTCTCTTTCTCGTGAAGTCTGAAGACTGTTGGTTTTCCATTACATTGCCTTAAAAGGGAATTCACAAGGAAACGAAGGTCTTTACTTCAAAACCTAATTCAAGTTCATAGTTAGGTCAAAAACAAAATTTAACAGTATTGGAAAAGCCTTTCTTAATATGTTACCAGTTGTAAGGTTTGTGTTTCTCGAATGTACACACATGCACACATTTCAGTGGCATGCCAGTGGGTACCACGTGGATTTCAGGAAGTATGTTTGTGCAGCTGATTTTAGCACTTGAAGGACTGCAGCATATGGAGTACTTTGATCAAAACGAACTAATTTGTGATTTTGAGATGCCTGTATCTCTTAGAAATGACTTTATTAACAATCACTTATTAATTTCACTTTTATTTTTGAACAACTGTTCCGGGTACTGTGAAGCATTTTGCATTTTACTGAAAATCTGATTATGAGTTCAGCAGCTCTGAGATGAATGAGAAATATTCGAAGTGTGTAACCTTATCACGTTTTCAAAACAGCTGTTAGTGTGTAACTACTATGAGCACCCTAACTCTCCTCCTGCAAGCCGTGGTGAGGCACCTGCTGACTTTGGGGTGAGCAGTGGGGGGAGGGAGGGTCAGTTGCTGTGGGGTTTTGAAGAACTCCAGAGCTTTTGATTGAATTCTGCTAAATGCAAGAAGTAACAAACACTGTTAATAATTGCTCTTTTCATTTTATTAAACTCAACTATGGAATATGTTTTGTTGAAATAAGTTTTCTTTTGTTATTACATTTTGATTTGTGTAATTGTTTGTCCCTTTTTTTTGTTACATTTATTTTTTTTCCATAGCCATTCTTTGCCCCATGTCTTTACATGCCAAGGTATTACCCTGGCAGTTCTCATCTCATCTCACGTCCACTAAAAACGAGTTTGTCCAGAGATCAGAGCAATGGCCTAGTAAGTATTTTGAAGGTTAATTCACATACTAACCTAGACAATAAGTATAGTGAATAATGTAAATGAAAATTGTTAATGATGATGCAGTATTAGACAAGTAAAAGCTCTATTTTATAAACAGTTTAAGCAAAGGTGTTATTGATATGTAATGTAAAATGTATTTTGTTTTAACTTAAGAAGCTTCTTAGAGTTGAAAACAAATTCTAACATGCAGGTATCAAGATTGGAGGAGTTTAACCTGTAATATCGGCAGGAAAGCATTTCAGTGAATGTGCCAACTGTGCTGCAGTAAATTGATGCAGTACAGTGTTAGAAGAAGAGAATGCCAGTGATAAATTTATATTCAAATTTTATAATAATACAAATTCTATGACATCTGGAGAAAATAAAATTGTCTCTTCATGTTGTAAAGTTTTCTACAAACTGAAAGGCCAAATAACTTAAAAGCAATGTTTTAAATATTCAAGTAAAACAAAATACATTTTGTCTGTAGCGTGCAATAGTTTTAGCTTTGTTTTGTAAGTATATGTAATTCAGCTTTATTTACCTGTTGAAAAGGAAGAAGAAACAGACTTCTCTGGCTTCCTATAGAATAATACAATTCCTATTAAGAATATTTATTTTACTGACAGATGGTTGTTCAAATGGAGTTAAGAACTAAAGAAAGCTTAAAAAAATCCCACAAAACAGAGGCAGTAAAAGCCTTACTTGTCAGTGGTTTAATTCTAGGTTATTGTTACATGGAGGAAAGCTATCAAAAGGTTTTAAAATCTTTAATCACTAACAGAAAATAAATACGTTTCTGTCAAGTTATGTATTATTATGAGATCATTCTCATTCATTATTTACTTCATATTTTTTGTTTAGCCCTTGATCATTTTACCCAAACCATAATATTTTGTTGTTGCTAGGATGTTATCAAGGAGGATGCTGATGAGGGGCTTTCTTCACCCACAGACCCCTCAATGGTAAATGAGTAGTCATGTGGTGTGGAAATTTTAGCATCTCATTGCTTTTTCAGCAGTAATGAGTCTGCATTAATCATAACTGCAGTTCACTAACACTGCATCGGTGGCTTTGGTGGGCAAATAGAGTAGCTGGAAACTAATGTAGTTTGTGAATGAATTTAAAAGCTAATATTTCACTTAAAAGATATAGATCTTTTTTTTTCCCTGTAGTTTTTCCCTTGCCTTTCTCAGTAGCCATTGTGCATATTGTGGTAGCTAAGCTGAGTGAAGAATGAGGTGGTCATTCGTGACTTAGATTTTAGAGTGAAGTAACTTTTGTGTTTCCTGCTTTAGTCAGCTCTCACCTGATCCCTACTTCTGTAGCTGGTGGCATAGAGCCATTGCAGTTAACGCAGTATGAAGCAGTGTTCCATGGGAATAAAATAACAGGCCACAGGTTAATTCTTGAATCAAAATGCTAACACTGATATTTTCTGTGACTTGTTCTTTGTTTTAGTCTCAGTATTTGCACAAAGTCTTCTTTATGGATATCTGTTTTAATTCTAACTGGGAATCAGTGAAAAGTCTTGTGGAGATACTGCCACCAAAGAGGTTATACAGCTATAATAATTTTCTTAAATGTTGCTACTATTGTTGCTGTTGGCAACACCTAAAAATTAAAGCTGCAGTTATTTTTTGTTTATGCAGTAAATATTGCAAAAATAAAAAATCTGTGATGTTGTGCAATGGAAAAAAGAAAGAAACAACCTACGAACACACAGGTTTCAGAACTACTGTATTTAACTGCACATAAACTTATCAATTATGAAAATGCAATGGAGAATTTACCCTAAAGTTCTGTTTCCCAGGTCATCTTCTACCCTGAGTGAAGGGATGACTTTGAGGTAAATTTTCCTTGTAGTATAATTTTGGAGATGATGATTCTTCTCTGTATTTGATTTCTTATCTCAGTATCTTGTTGTTCTCCCAGTCCTTTGCAGCTTGTCATTGTGAAGAGAAAGCAGTAGAAGTATGTGTGTGTATTTGTGAGTGTGAGAAGGGGACATGGGTGCGAAGAGTGGAAACTCGTCTCAGGGTGAAGTAGGTCAGGAGCAGACCTGGACCTGGTTGTTCCTCTGCTTGTTATCCTCAGCGTGATCATAAGCAGATAGGCTGCGGGTTCAAACAATTGAAAATACTTGTAAAATTTACAGGGTCTGATTGCAAGGGCAACTGATCTGTAGGTTAGAAAATATAAGAGTTAAAACATAGAAAAGAAACTTTGATGTAATGATAATGAAGGATTTCATTATATCCATTTTTCAGTTCACCTTTCTGTGAAGCTCAGGAGTAGAGCATGAAATTATATGCTTTTTCTGAGGTTTACTCTGCATTGTCAATGTAAGATTTTGAATTTCTGAAAATCTCCTGCGTAGTTTGCAATATTCTTAATGTGTGATATTCTGTGTGCCTGGCAGGTTGCCTCACCAGAGTTTCCTCTATTCTAAAAACCCTGATTTTGCAGTCTTTGTTGAAATTTCAGTGAAGGTGAACAGTGGAAGTATTATGGTTGTTAAGACATGGCAATTGTCCATAGATTATAGTTACTATAATGCCATCCAGCTACGAGGCTGCTCTCAATTGATGGATCGCTACCACCATATAAATGATAGTTTTAGCTTATATCTTAATATGCATACTGGTGCATGTAAATTAATGAAATATACTTTAAAAACAAATAAAAGCAGAACAATCTGCATCAAGTAGTTAATGAGCACCAAGGCTCATAACTGATTTGAGGACTGAAAATAAGAGGGGCATGTAGAATCAAGACTGACTTTCATGCACATCTAGGAAGAAGCCAGAAATGTTGCAATTTTACTGTTGTGTGAAATGTGAAACAGAGTTAATAATTATTTTTAATGTTATACAGCAGGAAACAGCTACTGCAAGAGCATAACTTTATAATAAAGACCATCACTGCTATTCCTTGCATGAGCTGAACAGACCTGTGCCGAGAACACATTATGAACAACTGAGACCCCTGCCATTGTTTGCATCTGACATTAGGGTAGAGTGGATATCTGAAATTCCAAATCCTAATCTTACATAAAACCAATGTAAATCTGGCTTAATGAATCTTAGCTTAATGAAAACGAGAGCATACATCATATACAAATAATAAAGCTGTTTTTAGGGACAAAGGAATAAAATGCAGCTGGCAACTTTTTGAAGACATCTTTGTTACAGAGTGCAGGAGCTCTCCATCCTTACATTTAAGAAATCAAGCAGGAGAAACAGTAAACCAGCATGGCTGAGCAAGGACTTGCTGCTCAAACTGAGGGAAAAGAAGGGCATGTACAGGGAGTGGATTTAGGAATGTGTGGTCTGGGTAGAGTATAGGGATGATGTCTAGACATGCAGAGACAGGATCAGAAAAGCCAAGACACAAATGGAATTGAACTTGGTGATGAGGGATTCTGCAGGTACATGACATTAGAAAAGAAAGGCCAGGGAGTGTACCCCCTCTGATAAATTAGGAGAGAGAACTGGCTGCAACAAACCTGGAGAAGGCTGAGATACTCAGTGAGTTCTTTGCCTCAGTCCTCACTCAGTCAGGCTTCCAGTGTCTCTCGTGTCCCTGAACCTCTGGGTGGGGTTGGGAGAACAAAGTCCCTCCCGCTGTAGGCAAAGAGCAAGTTCAAGACCACATGATAAGACTGAATGTGGACAAGTCTACGCATTCCAGAGTCCTGAATGAACTGGCTGATGTAGTTGTTGAGCTACTCTCTAATCGTATTTGCAAAGTCATGGCTGTCAGGTGAAGTCTCTGGTGACTGGAAAAAGGGAAACATCACGCCTGTTTTTAAGAAGGGCAGAAAGGAGCACCTGGGGAGCTACAAGCCAGTGAGCCTCATGACTGTGCCTGGGAAGACCATGAATCAGATTCTCCTGTAAGCTATGTTAAAGCACTTGTGATATATGAAGGTGATCTGAGATAGCCAGCAGAGCTTCACTAAGGGTAAATTGTGCCTGACAGTCGGTGGCATTCTTTAATGGACTGATAGCATTGATGGACAAAGGAAGGATAACTGATGTCATCTGCTTGGACTTTTGCAAGACTTTGGTATGGTCCCACACAACATTCTTATCTCTAATTTGGAGAAAAATTGATTTGAAAGGTGTGCTTATTAATTGGGTAAGGAATTAGTTGGAAAGTCACAGTCAGAGGGTTGTGGTCAGTGGATCTGTGTCCAAGTGGAAGCTTGGAAAGTGATTGGGATGGGTGAGCTGTGATGTCCCTTCCAAACCAACCATCCTGTAATCCCATGTACTTCAGAATAAATATAGGATACTCTCTAAGAAACTGAAAATGCTCTTCTACAGTTTGAGCATAAATGTAGGTGTGTGGCATAGGAGTTTTCTTTTTATGTATTTTCCAGGTGCTTTTATGTGGCATTGTTGCACTTCAAACATTTACTTGTTAATCCTGTTGTTTGTTCTTAAGAGTACTGTTTCAGTTCTGAGTGGTGTTTAAAAAAAAAAAAAAAAAAAAATTGAAAAAATCACGTGCTTAGATACAAGGCTTCACAATTATTTGAGTACAGGGCTGATGTAATGTGATTTTGAAATGGCAGGAAAATGTGTTTAAAGCTAAATTTTCCATTAGAAATGTAATGTAGAACTTCAGGGCAAGCAAAGTGTCGTGCAATTTTACAAGTACAAATCAGAGCAGTGTTTTCTTAGCAGATGGTATTCACGTAACATATACTAACTGTGTATTGTGAAAGTATATCTTAAAAGTTTCAGCACCTTATGAAAATATCCCAGTACAGAACTTTTCTGTCTTAATGTTGTTTCCTTTGTTTACTCGAGAGCATGTCATCTCTATATACAATCTTTTTGATGTCACTTTAAGCTGTTCTTTCTTCTTGTTCTGTTTTGTCCTTTCCTGAAAGCTGTGTAAGTCTGGGTTAAGCAGACCAAGACAGGTACAGCCACTTTCTGTGAATTATCATTCACTTTTTAGAGTCATTTCAGAAGCTATCATGCTGGCGCTTCATGCTGGGCTGTCTGTAAACTAATGCTCATTACTAGCCCTGAGGTGTGTTTTGACAAGCTGCTTTTAGCTTTTGCATGGCAAGTACTTTTCAGACTAATGTTCTTTAAGCATCTTTAACGAAACCACTAAGGCTGAAAAATCTGTCAGTTTAAGTACAGTTTTAATTCACTTACATGATGGCAATATCCTTAGAGCTATTGCATTACTTATTCTTCAGAGAGTGCTTTTTATAAAGAATGTTTTGGATTAATGTGCATCTATTTCAAACAGTTCACACTTCAACAAAAATAGTCTAAATATTAGATTGCTTTGCTGTATTTTTTTATACACAGAAGGAACTTCCTAAACTAACTCTTCATGCTTGCAGAAAGTATGACTTGTTCATGATTGTTAACAAAATATTTTGATCTGAAGGAAAATTGTTAAATTAGAAGTGTCTTAAAAACTGCATTTATTTGTGAATACTGATAGATACTGTATTTAATGGATTGAGAGAACAAAGGCAATTGCTTGCACACATTGCTTGGGGATCATTCACTGTGTGGTACCACCTTGTGATTTTGGCTGTAACTGTTTCTTTTGTTTTAATTGACCTAACTGCTTTTTGGAAAGAAAGTTTTAATTTGAGTTAATTCACTGACTGCCTTTTGCTTATTGATGTAATATAACTTGTACCAATAGCAAATAGTTTGTTTATGGGAAAATATTAGACAAAACTCTTCAGGAAAAATGGAAATAGTTTGGTGGTTGGCTTATGTCCTTATCTTGATGAGGATTTTAGCTGTGCTAAAAATCAGGCTAGATTGAGATCTGAATTCGCTCCTCGTTAGGTGCCTGATATGTTAACTAGTTGGCATTGTAGGCACCTGATTAGGAAGGCATTGCAGAGCCTGTCTTGTCCTTGGATGGAATACCAAGTCACTATGTTAGGTGCCTGCCCTTTGTCACAGTGAAGGTGTTATGCTTAATTTTATACGGTAATTTCGGTAAGCTGCTTACGCAGCAAGTGGGAGTATCTTTTTTCTTTAACATGCAGTTGTCATCAAATATTGATATACAAATGTTCAAAAGAAATGAACTCAAGCTTCAGCCCTATTTTCAGCCATACGAGCAAACCACAAGGCTTAGGGTCCCCACCACCTCCTTTAGTGTTTTTGAGCGAAGTTGATGGATTGATTGTTCTAAGGCCATTTCAAACATATTTGGCTGAGAACTGTGGAGGAATTGCAGATTGAGATTCAAAGTCAGGTGCTTGGAAACTTGCCTACCCAGGCTATTCAGAAGCATCTGACTTTGAATCTCAACCTGTAATTCCTCCACAGTTGCCTACCTCACCAGATTAGGATATCTCCAGTAACAATGAGTTTGAGATAACTGAGGTTAAGGTCAATGAGAATAAATTTAGGGTTTGCTGCCTTACAGCTGAACAAATTTTTCAATTCTTCTCAAATATTCTTATTGACAATTTGGGTATGGTTAGCATCATTAAATATAATCTTGAGTTTTATAGGTAATTATCTTTGAATATATTAACTTACTGTCAGTTCTTCTGTGAGATTAAATAAATGTAATATACATGCATATTACATAGACATACATATATATATGTATACATACATATATAGTTGTGTGTGTATATATATAATTTAGGCTTTTTCTAGTCCCTATATATGTGTGTGTATGTATATATATATATATATATACGTATATGTAGGAACTAGAGAAAAATTATGTATATATATAATTTATATATATATATAATTGATTGAGAAATATTGCCCTATTTCATTAATTGAATTTTGGAAATTTAAAATGTACTTTTACATCTCAGAGTTATGCATGTGATGATAAGCTCTGAAGCTTTGGAAGCTCTTTTGCATCCTCCCAAAATGAGCTTTATTTTGGTATTTTTATTTTGGAAGCTGAAACTTCCGCCAAAACTGAAACAAAAACTTTTATATTCAGAAAAAGTGAAGGTACAACCTCCCTTCCTGGGGAGTTTATACAAATATTTCATGGCTGATAGAACATGGCTGATAGAACTGTTTCTGATTTTGCTATTTTGAATTTGGAACAACTGAACTGTTCAGAGCTTTGCACTTTGTCCTACCCAGGGCAGGCTCCCATCCAGGAAGAACACGTTAGTTTGTGTACAAATGCATTTGTTTTGTTTTTCCACACTTTCTTGGAAATGCCCAGAAACTGGCAACGTTATCAGGGCAACTTAGGTGTTAGGGATCTGAGATATGAATAACTTCTACCAAAATCTTGCCAAAGCTCCAGATACATGAAACATCCTTACAGTATCCTGGAGGGCAGCAGTAGTACTGCCCTGTATTTCTGTGCTATGACGACTGTATATAGCTCCCTGACTGATCTTGTGGAAAAATGGAGAGGTACTGATATAAGTACCCAGTGAATCCAAGTAACTGAGGAGCTGCATTTCCAATCATCTTTGTCTTATGCTAAGCCAATAATCTTTTCAGACAGGAAAATCTTAAGTTGTGTCTGGGATACTTGAGAAAATAAATAACCAACAAGAACTGAATTAACTGCTAAAATCACTGGGAAACTTGGAAAAAAGATGCATTTGAACTTAACACTTTATAGTCCTAGTTTTTATGTTGTTTTTCTTAAATAACGTGATTTAAGAGAGTTATTTTTCACATTGGCAGGACTGAAGATGCTGTGGTTTTTTTTCTCATAAATACTAAAATAAATGTTTCTCAGGATATCGATATTCTGATATCAGTTACAAATGCCTGTGCATTCTTATTCTCATTTATTAATTTTCTTTGGCTTGTTGCAGTGCATATTGTGAAATTCTGGGTGTACTGAGTTGTTGAACAGATCTTTTATGTGCACCTTCTTGCTTCTTGCAGGGAGGAGGAGCAGGTGCAGGACCAACAGGAGTTTCACATGTCTCCCTGAGCACAATGAGTGTGGAAGCTGTATGTGAGAAGCTCAAGCAGATAGATGGTCTGGATCAGAGTATGCTGCCTCAGTACTCTGCAATTATAAGAAAGGTATCAGCTGAATTTAATTAGTGTGTTTAATACCTAACCATGGACACTGGCATGGAAGAGAAAATATTTAGTTGACGCTTTTGGAGGTGTTTACCGTAACACGTGGAGTATCAGAACATCTTAATTTCTATACATGCTAAGTTTGAAGAACGTTTTTAAGGCAAGCATGTATTTCTCAGAGAAAAGGCTCTCTTAAAAACAATCAAGAAAAAGAGCACAAAAACGTACTTACTGATGGTAACTGGTTATTTTGAGAAAAGAAACAATAAAAAATGATTTTTAAATTGTCATATTTAGATAAATAGTATTGTAAATGGGTTCTAAATCCAGGTAGCAGCTTTTTCTTTTACCTGAAAAATTGGCATCTCTCTTTTATTGTGAGTGATGAGAATACAGTTTCATCTCTCTGCTACCACATTCCGTGCCTATTTGATTCAGAACAAAGCCACTGTACATTTTTTTTGTTCATGGCTCAGTATTATTAAAATATTTTCATTATTTCATGAATTATAGATGATTCTTCTCCATCAGCAATCATCAATAAATATTCTTCTTCTTTAAAAAAAAATGTTTTTATTACGTAGGATTGGACTTAGGAGTGGTGCTGGGAAGTTTCACCAGTAGCCCCCATCAGTATGTATCATGGTTTTGTAAACCGTTGACAGTATGTCTAGTTTTACCTTTCTTGTCTGTCACTTTTAAACCACAGGTCTTGTGTCAGTAATTTACATTATTTCGTTTCACTTTTCTAGGCAAATATAAATGGCCGTGTCTTGGCTCAGTGCAACATTGATGAACTGAAAAAAGAAATGAATATGAATTTTGGTGACTGGCACCTGTTCAGGAGCATGGTAAGACTTCTTCAGAATTCCAGGACATCATAAATTAGTCTCTGGTATTATTAATCTTTTTTGTACACACTGCTATCCTGATAACAGCTTATCTTACATTTATCATCATAAAGCATGTATGCTTTTATTATTTTGTTATTTCATCATCTTGAGTATACAAAACCAAGAGCTAGTTGCTTATGGGTTTGTGTCTTAGATGATTGTGAAGTTCGAAGATTTTCCCCTCATGTAAGATCTACTTTTCATGGATGGGTTTCCTTTTCACTTTTTAAATTTGGCTCATGCATGGCATACAATTGCAGGAGAATAGTTTTAAATGAAACTTAAATTAAAGATCAATTCAATGAGTTAAAGGGACAATAATTTAATTGACACATACTTTTATTCAATGCAACATTCTCATGTTGTGCTGTTAAGCATTTATAGATACCTAATTTCCCTTCTTGCGCTGTGAGTTCAGTGGCTTCAAGCTATGGCTTCAAGCTGCACCAGGGAAGATTGAGGCTGGACGTTAGGAAATACTACTTCTCTGAAAGAGTGGTCAGGCAGTGGAATGGACTGCCCAGGGAGGTGGTGGAGTCACCAACCCTGGAGGTGTTCAAGCAACGTTTGGACATTGTGTTGAGGGACGTGGTTTAGTGAGAGCTATTGGTGATCTACCTTTTTTCTTTCTGAAAATTAGGTGTGTCACTGAACTGCTAAAGTCTTCAAAACGCTAGGAATTACAAGACAGTTTTTATTGTTAGACTTAGGTTGACTAAAGCTATAAAACTGAATGCTTGTCTTTGCTTTTAGATTTATATTTATCACTTTGTTTTACAAGAATTTATTGTTTTGTGTCATATAAGTTCATGTAAGGGCCTGCAAAAAGTAATTTTGTAAATACAAGAAAACTTCTTAATGTGATTTGCTGTAAAGACAGTAAATGTACTAGCTCTGTAAACTGATCTTTCGTCGTACTTTTCCATTATCACAACCATAGGCAACTACACTTTTACAGCTGAGTTACACATTCCTATATGTAATGGAATTGTTCTTTATCAATTTTCAGGTTTTTTTTGACTATGTAATTAACTTTGCAGTGTCTCTCTCTCTTTTTTTTTCCCTATGTGTGTGAAGATACTTGAAATGAGAAATTCAGAAAATCAGGCTGTTCAGGAAGATCCTCGAGGAGCAGCTGAGCATGTCACCACTGCGATTTCTCATAGTGAACTTGCTCGTCGTCCTGGGCATAGCACTGAGCTGCCTCACACCGAGCTTACAGGTCTTTCTGGTCAAGCTCCCTACACACTTAACTTCAGCTTTGAAGAACTCAACACAATTGGTCTTGATGAAGCTCCTCCACGCCACAGTAACTTAAGTTGGCAGGTATTTAATAGCCAGATGTATTCTACATGTGTACTGGTGTAGTCTAGGGCTTTTTATATTCTTGGATATGGATGGGTCAAGAAATAAGACTACTAGAGCAATTCAGTTAATTTCAGTTCTATAAATGATTGTACTAAGCAAATTTTAGAGCACTGACAATGTCAGTGACATGACTATTCAAAACAAAAAAAATAATTTAAGCATGTGCTTGATGTTTTGAGTTATGCTTTGAGGTATGCTTTCAGTTACTTCACTTAGAGCAGCCAGTAAAAGACAAATAGTTTATGTAACTGTTATCTCTCTCTCTTCTTTCTTTTTTTCCAGTCACAGACTCGCAGAACGCCAAGCCTTTCAAGTCTTAACTCTCAAGATTCGAGTATTGAAATTTCAAAGCTTACTGACAAGGTACAAGCAGAATATAGAGATGCATATAGAGAATATATTGCTCAGATGTCACAGTTAGAAGGAGGTGCCAGTTCCACTACTGTAAGTGGAAGGTCTTCCCCTCACAGTTCAAGTGCTTTCTATATGGGTCAGAGTACATCGGGGGGGTCCTTGCATTCCAGTGCAGAGCAAGAGAAAGTAAAAGATGGTGAGCAAAAACAAGATGATGGAAGAAAGTCCTTCCTGCTGAAGAGGAATGATGTTATTGATTATAGTACTTCAGGTGTTTCTACTAATGATGCATCTCCTTTGGATCCTATTACTGAAGAAGATGAAAAATCTGATCAGTCTGGTTCCAAGCTTTTACTGGGAAAGAAGTCATCAGAAAGAACAAGTATTTTCCAGGCTGCAGATTTAAAGCTTAAGGGAGTTACTCTCCGGTATCAGAAGCTTCCAAGCGATGAAGATGAGTCAGGAACTGAAGAGTCAGATAACACTCCTCTTCTTAAGGAAGGTAAAGATAAGAAAACAGATGGGAAAGTAGACAAACAACCCAAGTCTCCAGAACATGGATCTGAACCTATTAGAACCTTCATCAAAGCCAAGGAGTACTTGACAGATGCGCTTTTGGATAAAAAAGATTCTTCTGACTCTGGTGTAAGATCTAATGAAAGTTCTCCCAATCATTCTCTCCATAATGAAGGAACAGATGATTCACAGCTTGAAAAGGCAAATCTCATTGAGCTTGAAGATGACAGTAATAGTGGAAAGAGAGGAATTCCACACAGCCTTAGTGGCCTTCAAGATCCAGCTGTGGTTCGCATGTCGATTTGCTCAGAAGATAAGAAGAGCCCATCAGAAAGCAGCCTGATAGCAAGTAGCCCAGAAGAAAACTGGCCAGCCTGCCAGAAAGTCTATAATTTAAATAGAACCCCTAGTACAGTGACCCTAAATAATAACAGTGCTCCAAACAATCGAGCTAATCAAAATTTTGAAGAAATACAAGGTATGAGAGATCCATCTCAGATTATTCTGAACCCTAGTGCAGGTTCCAACTCAACTGCCGTTCAGAATGAGAACCTGAAAAGTGTTGCTCACAAGCGGAGCCAGCGTTCAAGTTACACGCGGCTTTCAAAGGATTCATCAGAGCTCCACACTGTCACTGCCTCAGATGGGGCTGGTTTTGGAGAAGAGAGAGAGAGTATCCTTTAAAGAAATGAGGTTCAAACAGAGAATGCCCACATGTTGTAGCTTGCTTGGAATTTGTTGTCAGTGTGTGGTTACGTTAAGCTGCGTAGTTAAGTTTTCAGTACCATACTTAAAAAATTTAGAAAATTATTTTCATTCATTTTCTTGAAGAAGAAGTAATCTTTAGGACAAATTATTTCAGACCTTCCCTACAAATTAAACTAATGCTTGTCAGTATGGAAAAACAATTCCTTAAGATGCTGTGCAAATGTTTGGTCAGAGGCATACGTTGCAGAAGTACATACAATTTAATCATTAAAATGTGATTTTATTTTTCTGTTGGGTTGTGTAACACTTATCCCTCCAGAACATTCCATTTAAATCTTATATACTTAAAATTAATATTAAGACCATGCATCTTTGCCGTTTAACATGAGTTGCCAGAAGATGGAATCTCACAGCCTGTGATATCTGTATCAAACTTTACATTAACTAGTGGGATAAGGTGTGCAACATTTGTATGTCGAAATTTTGAGTGTTAAAGTACCTCTTTGGCTGTGTGTACACTTTCATTGGCTATGTGTTCAGTAATTGCAGTTGGCTTTGTGAATTGTGGGTAGGATGGTGATAAGGCTTGTAAGGAGCGTTGTCTTGATGTGTCGTTGGAATTGGCAGTTATTTATAAGATAATGCCTTACCGTTGAATTAGTGAATCAGTTATTTATTATAGGTACGTAATTTTATAGTTACTGGTCTAAGTAGATGCAAACACCTAAGCTATGTTAAAATATTACAAGGGATAAAGTGTGAACGTGATATCTGAACATAAGGAGTATCTGTTGCTGTGCATGATATTTCCTTGGTACAGTGTTTATCGTTTGGTTCTAGAAAGAAAAATAAGTAGTGTTTGCCATTTTTAAAGTAATATGTACTTCCTGGAGTTTAGTCACAACTGTGTGGCAGCTTCTTTATTTCTGAAGTACAGTATTTGAAAGTTTTGATGTCATCCAAGTATCCGCTTGTTATTGTAGTAAATACCTGTACCGGTCCAGTGAAATCTGCATGATTACAAGGGAAGAATTGTTCAAACTAGACTCTGGTAGTTCAAAGAAAATAAAAAAATAAATTGTCCTCCTGAAATTGTGTCCAAACTTCTATTTACTGTGGCATTTTCTTTCTTCACTTCTTAAAAATGGTATGAGCATGTTGTTTCTATTAAAATACATCACAGATTTAGTTAAAGGGTGCAGTATTGTTATTAATACAACACTAAATAAGCATCAAATATAAAGATACGTTTGAAATATGAAAGACATTTCTGAAAGAGTCCATTATGGAGAGGTGGCCACTTCTTACTGTTCGGCATCATGCTGCTTGTGATGTCTGTGGGTAGTTCTGCGTAGCTCTGCTTCTGTCCTACTGCCATCTCCAAGTGTATTCCTCCAGCTTTTCTCAGAAGGTACATACAAAAATTATTCTGCAGTAGGGGAAAATAATCTTCTTTATTTAAAGATATTCACAGTATTGATGAAAAATAACAATTCTCTCAAGTCGTTTTGTCTCAAATAATCCAAGTAGAGTAATCTGTATATTTCATACGGTTTTGAAATTTTTCTATCCCTAAAAGTTTTCTAAGTCTTCATAAAATACCAAAATTGGGAAGAAACAGGCAATTGAGTGAAAACTCTTCAGTGTTTCCAAATTATATTTATATATCAGTGCGATGGCTTACCACCACTAAAAAGCAATTGTTTGGAGCATAATATCTGTGCAAGATTACACTGGGCTTAATGTTTGTTCTTCAGGTATCTCAGATGATGTCACAATAAAGAGTCAAGTAATAGGAAATTCCAGTAGAAGACTATGCAGTTATCAGTATTATGAATTAAATTGGTCTGTGAAAGTGATTTTTAGTCTGTGTGAGCCTTGCCCAGCATTGGGTGGACGGTGGTTCAGTCCTGCCTCTTACCTGCTTTAACTGCATTATATCTGCGTTTTATATAATTAAATCTGTTCATGAAGTTATTGTCTAATAGCTTCCTTAGAGATCCTAGAATTAGCAGAATGTAAATGCTTTGTAGATGATTCAAGGGCAGTATACTACAAGAGCCTTTTGCTAATAGGATGCTAAGTATGATTGATACTTAGAATCTTCTGACTTAAAAATGAATTAACAGAGTTAATTGTTCTCCTTTGAAGTATCTGCAATTTTTTTTTTCTATACAGGTATAAGCAAACAGAAGAGTAGGGAGAGAGGAAAAGAGAGACAGAAGACAGAAATGGAATTCTTGAACTACAGCATAGTAGTAAGAAGTACATTACTGTTTAGGTTTAATTAATTTGTTACATGTAGGTTATGAAAGAATAGCATTTGCAAGAATTAAAAATAAACTGCAGTTTCGTTGCTGAAATTTGTTATTTCTGTTCCACAGTTCCTATGGTTACTAGTTGCTTAGTTTGTTGCACAATTATTGGAATTAAGGGACCATAAACAATTTCTAGTGTTGAAATATTAAGTGCTAGCTGTGGGACTTGGGGAGATGATGGAGCCCAAGAATTCCATGGAGAATGGATATAAATGAATAAAAACACAACTTCAAGCTTATTTCTAGTTCTCACCGCTTGCCAGAACTCTTGTAATGATAGAGTATGTATCCATTCTAGTTTTGGATGAATGACTACTACAAGAACTTTATCCTAAGTGAAGAGTTACACTTGGCCTCTTGTTCCGATGCCTTGTTAGGTTTGTATGGTAGAATGAAAATAAGTCATTTTAAAGGGAAAAATTGGATGCAAGTAAACAAACAGGTGGGGTTTATGTAACTTTTATAGCTACTCACCAGCTTTTTACAAGGATGCAGTTCACAGGGAAGGGGGAGGAGGAAATTCTTACTTTCTGCTTTAAAAACTTGCTACAAAATAATGATTGCTGAAATTCATAGGGACTCCGGAAAAAGATTCCCATGTGGGGCCTGACCTGGTCAGCCTGAGTGATCACCCTGTGTGATTTTTGTCGAAGCAGCAGAGTACGTACTTGGTGTTTTTTGCAGGTTTTCAGTTCTTAGTTTTTTGAAGTTTTCAAACACTGCTGTTTTTTTTTTTTTTTTTTTTTTGGTCTTATTTTTTTTCTTTCAATAATCTTCAGAAATCAATCCAGGGAAGCTCTTAGCATAGGGTTCTTATGATGAAAACTTGAGGCTTCTCATGGTCTGGGCTTCAGGTGTTCACATCTGTCCATGGAATTCTTGAAGCCTTTAGTGTTTTTTGGTTTTTTTTTTTATTATTTACAACTCTTATGGGAAGCTTTCTGAACATAATGGTAAGTGTATGAATTTCTTTGTACAGCTATGAAAGCTACAGGCAGAGGATCCTAATAGCATTTTTTTTTCCTAGTCCAGCGTGTTGCCTTTACCAGCTATGACAGGTTTGTTTGGGTTTATAAATACATTACCAACAAGCTGCCAAGTAAAATAATGCCTGGATATTTGAGGTTTCTCAATTGAAAGTCACAGTTGTGGTAAAAACAGAAATATTAATATCTAGTCATGAATTTTCAGACATTTAAGAGAAATATAACATGTTAATTACATTGGACATGCAAAAGCTGTAACATGCTGATGTGATATCAGGAATACAATGTTAACTAATTAGTTGTCTTAAATAAAGATTACTGCTAGTAGGTTGGTGTTTTCTGTGCCAAATGATAGCTTTGGTGGAGAGAAGTTGAAGCAAGTTTCAAATTTTGTTAAGCAGAAAAAAATGTACTGTTTTCTGTTAGCTTTAAGCATTATGTTTTCTTGTTTTTGAGATTATACTGATAAAAAGGCCCTTATTTATTAAAGACAGTGGAGATAGTTGTACTTAGCAGCTTCCTTTGTGAGAATATGGAAGAATTTCATGAGCTTGACATGTTCTGACAGATTGGGTGTGTGAAAAAGTTAATTTGAAATTTTAATATAAAGGTAAGTAATAAATATTTTCAAACAAATTCTAACAGAGCTAGGATTTCCAGAATATTAACTGGCGTGTGGAAACCTACCCATCAGTTTTAAGATGGTTTTCGGTATTTTACATGCAGTTAACAGTTTCATTAAAGGTATCTATAACGTAAGCTAACTTAGTATCCAGTATGTTTTGCCATATGATTAACAGACGGAAATTGGTTATAGAACTCAAAAAAGCACTTTAAATCTGATGGAAAACTGCTATTTATGCATTTATTTATTGCTGTTGTGTGCATCTTGTTTTATTTCTTTGATACTATGCTTAGGTAACTTATCTTTACCTTTATTTAAATCTTCACATGAAATCTTCTTAAAGAGGTGTTTATTTGTTACAGCTTAGTGACATTTCTGGCACTATAATGATTCAGGTTTTTTTTGTGTAAAAACATAGAAGTAATGATAGAAAGTATAGAAATTTGAGTCTAACTTCTGTTTTAAGGTCTGACTTCTGTGATGCACTTAGTTGTATTTTGTTGCTTTAGAAAATGTTTGCCAACTCTTCTAGAAAGGCTCAGAAGTACAGCTTTTTCAGCCGTGTTTTCTCAGTCTCAAGAGACTGTAGTTCATTTATAAGACTTATAGTCATAACATCACTGGCTTTAAGAAGCATTGAAAGGTGTTCTCCCCCCTCACCCTATGTATGCTTGGTTACAGCAGTGATACTGGTTGTAAAAGAGAGGCTGTTGGTTGTTTTCCTTTTCTTAGTTTATGATATTTTAGGGTGATCTTATTCAGAAGTGGGAGAAAAATCGTGTAATATTTTAGAAGAACATGGTCTTTTGGAGGGTGGAAAAAAAGGTGAGAAGTTGAGAGAAGGTACTTAAAATAATTACATTTGAGCGTGTATTTCTCTCAAAGATGAGATGTTAGCAATTAGCATACTTCAAGTGTTTGTTGTTTTTTTTAAAAAACTTTTACCATTATGTGGCACAGTGTACAGAGTTTTAATGTTTCCAGTCGTTCTGAATACTGATACCACCTATCATTACTTCTTACAGAAGCCGAGTCACTCAGTTTCAGAATTGTAAAGAAACCAACAGGAGTTTCTCTGTGTCGTTACTTGAGTGTGTTTGTTGTTTATGAGACAGGTAGAGGGGAATAATAGCAGTCCATTATAAGATTTTATTTGGGTCCCAGTTTTCACATGATAGAAAACAAAAGAAAGAGAATGAATGGTTTTGTATATGTCCCTGGAACCTAGAAATAAAAACGCAGGCATAAAATATTGACTGTGGGGAACAGTAAAATTAATGGAAATTCTGTGATGCTTTACTGCCTTTCCTCGCTAATTAAACTATAGGGAAGCAATCAGCAGAGAATAAATGTTTTTTTTTAAAAAAAAAAGTATTAGTATTTTTTCTGGAATAATGTGATAGCTTTCCCTTAGCTAAAGGCAGTGTAGACTCTTGAATCAGCTTACATATTCCAGTATCTTGTAATACTTCTGTATTTGTCATGGCTTTGAAAGGCAGCAACATTATACTTGCCTCATTTTGGAAACCAGAAAAATCAAGACGTAGCAGAATACAGATACATGTATTTTCTGGTACAGTCTAGTACTGAGCTTCCATTTGACAGTCACATAGCACTTCTACTGGTATCAAAAGTCCCCTTTGCTTCATGTTGATTTAAACCAATAAGAAGTCCTGACATCTGACCCAAACATCACTGTTAAGCCTACTGCCACTCAGCATTTTTGTTTTCCACCCTCTTGAAGTTTCCTCTTTGTAAACCTTGTAGCTTGTGATCCTCTTTGGCAAAAGGTGTAGTGTGTAACTTCAAACTTCTGACTTGTTTGGCATTTTGGACTAAAGAAACTTTCCAAGATTTTCATTGTAACCTTGGGACTGTTGTACAGTGTGACTTCTCCTGTTTCAGCAAATGCTGTTCTGCAGGGAAGCTGGGGGCTGTTTGTTGAGGTTTTTTTTGTTGTTGGTTTTTGTTCGTTTGTTTTTTAAATCTGAAGTAGATTTTTATTCCTTCCCTTTATCTTGCCCACTCAGGAATCAACATTTGGTTTTCAGATACTTTTACTCTCAGAGATGAAGGGAAATGTTGATGTTTTGTTTTTCTGTATAAGACAAATCCTTAAACTGTAACCCATTTAACCTTAGATATTTACAACTTTGGAA